TAAAATTGGTGAAAAGACGGTTGATATCATGAAATTTAGACCCAAAAAAAAAAAAGTGGTCTCCATTGATGGAATTTCAAATCAGAAATTTTCTAAGGTGCCCAAATATGTTTCCTCTATTCGTATTTTTCACTTCTATTTTGTGTCATTTCTTGTTTTGTTTCTGTTTATTTCAAGGACCCTCTGTTGTTTGCAAAACATACATTTCCCATTTTCAACCCTGCACATACTAACAAAAACGCCATGTAAGGATATCTAATGTGCATGAACTCTACATATAGAAACAAAAGGGATGAAGAGTTAGGTTTATAGTTTCGAATTTTAGTTAGGGTTCTATTTGTCATTGAACTGGGAAAATAACTTAATTATGCAAAAAGAAAAGTTTAAAATGCTTGAGTGTTTAACGACAGAGGTTAATGAGTAAATTGAGGCTAATATAAATAAAAAATAAATATAAATGTTAATTTGTTATCTTAAGCCAATCATGCTCGTTATTCTTTACTTAGTATCATATTCTTAGACAGATCAATGAATGCAAAGTCCTTTTCATAGTTCTTGCCTATGCTCCTTTGCTTTCTCGTTGTTTAACAGAGATGACCAACAACAAATAAGTTCAGCCTTTTCAACTCCAGCCTTGTCATTTATCATCAGGACACATTGCTTTAGTTTATGGCAGTTATTTTTTGTTGAACATGTTTTGGTTTTAGCTAGTTGTTGCATCGTATGGTAAAGAATGATTGGCCTTACAGGTCCAGTTATGTGTAAGAAAACAATAAACTTATTCAACATTTTTATTAATGTTATAAGATAACGACATGCATAATGATGACCCAATAAAATAGATACCAAGATTTTACGTGGAAAACCCTTTCGGGAAAACCCACACAGAAGATGAGAAAATTCAATAATGTCATGAGAAAAAATATATAAGAGGAATCCTCATTGACAACCTAATCTCTAACCATAACCCTTTGTATCTATTTATAGGGATAGATACTTGATTACAAAGTAAAATTGAATAAAGTAGAAATCTATTTTAATAATGTTATCTACTTTTAATCAAACTAGATTCTTACTTTCTTAAATTTAAATGTTAATTTGTGTCACTTTGAATTCTAGTCAAATTTTAACAAATATTCACTTTAACACGAATTCTAGAAGTGTGAAAGTTTCGAGACAAAACACCAAAATCCGATGAGACACCCTAACTCAACAAAAAACAATTCTTCACTTCAATGAACAAATTCTCCACCTTGAGAACATATTTCCCACTTCTTTCACGAAATCCCATATTCTTCAACAATGATTGACAATTGAATCCAAAGCTTGTTAAAACTTGGATTCAGTCTTCACATCAAGAAGAAAATCATAAGTGCTAACTTCGATCACAACTTGTTCACTACTAACAATATCATGCACAACACCATCCCGATCATCAATGACAATTCTATCTTTTCTGTTATACTCAAATAACTAAATTTTCTTCTCAAACTGTTATGCCCACGGAATTGAACTCTCTTTTTCTTCTCAAATATGTTATTCTCACGAAATAAAATACTTTTCTTCTCTCAAACCGTTATGCCCATGGTTGTTTTGTTCAACACAAAATCTTCATTTGCCACTAAGAAAAAAAATTATAGTTCATCTTCTATAATTGTTGAAATTTGCATAATATAAAACTTGGCAGTTTTCCTTAGCCATTTCATCAAGAGAGCTCTTGTTAATTTACGTACATCTACCTTCAACAATTTGAATCTAGTGTTGCAATCCAATCGTGACTTCTCATACTTTAAAGATGTCATTATCGTGATCAAGTTAAACAATTCGGTTGTTCTGATATCAATTTGTTATAAGATAATGACATGCATAATGATCTCCCAAAAAATAAACACCAAGATTATGTGGATAACCCTTTCGGGAAAAACCACCAGCAGAAGAGGAGAAAATTCACTAATATCAAGAGAAGAATAATACAAGAGGAGTCCTAATGGACAACCTAATCTCTAACTCTAACCCTTAGTATCTATTTATAGGAATAGATAATCAATTACAAAGGAAAACTAAATAAAGTAAAATCCACTTTAATAAATTTATTACTTTTAATCAAACTAGGATTCTTACTTTCCCAAATTTAAATATTAATTAATTCGTGACACTTTGAATTCGAGTCAAACTCTAACACTTAAGCTATGCAATTTTAAAAAACTTCTACTAATCATGCTATGAAACTGTGTGACCCCAATACTTGCAGTTGTGCTTGCTCCTAAGCCTTTCTGTTGTTAAGTAAACAGTAATGTGTTTATCAAGAATTCCCTGACTATGTTGAACGCTTAGGGAATATGAAGAAATATTGCAGCTTATGAACACACCTGATGAATAAAACCGCAGGCTGCATGAAATTCCTGACATACACAGTGACTCAAATAGGGATCTATTTTTCAAGTATAATAAAGTTTCTGGAGAAATGGATGAGAAGAAAAAAGGTATGATGCAGTTTTAGACATAAAACATTTTTTTATCATTGTTTTTACTATGTCAGACTTAATGTTTTGGTATTGTATAGCTATGTAAGTACAGATAGGTAGGTAAGGGTGCGTATATGTGTGTGTTGGGTGTTAATTAAGCTTGTTTCTTTCTATGCACTCTATAGAAATGGAGCTATCTGTAGATAATACCGAGACAGATAAAATATGGCATTATCAAGACCCACATGAGAAAATTCAAGGGTCATTTCCTATGGCAATGTCATGTGTGTGGAGCACGGGTGGTCATTTCCTTCCTGATTTGAGAATGTGGAGAGTAAGTCAAAGCAAGATGACTCCGTTATCTTAACTGATGCTTTGGTTGGGCGGTACAGCCAAGCATATCAATTGTTTCATAGTAGTTCCATACCAACTAAGGATGTAAGTATTGCCTCCGATATTGAATTTCAGAACAGGGGTGTAGATGCTAGGGAGAGTAGGGATATGAAGGTGAACCAGACGAAAATTAAATAGGTTGAGGGAAGCTTGAACCCAATCAATAATGATGCAAGTGGACATTGTCATGGTAACGATGACTCTACAACAGGGAAAGAGTTGGGCTCTCAATCTTCTGTTTGTAATACTTCTACAGATAGTAGGAAGTTGTTCGCCACATAGTGACCCCATGAGGGTGATAGTTACTTCCCTAGCCATCCTCACGTGAGTGGTTTGCTTCTCACATCTACATTATCTGCGAAACCATGTGAAACTCAGTCTCCTCAAGTTAGCAAAGTTCATGGGGTTGAAAGATGGGGCTGTGGTTTGATTGACATTAATGTGAACTTGAGCAAGAACGAAGGTCAAATTATTGATGGAAATGTGAAGCAATATGATAATGAGGGAAAATTGAACCAAGAAGAGTCAAAAGTTTAGGCTACTAAAGTAAACAATATCCTTCTCCTAATGTTGCTCAACTGGATTCAGGTTCTACCTGGAACACTGCTTCGAGTATAGTGGGTAATGGACCACAACTTCTTGAAGTAGCTGGTGAATGTATAGGGTATTCTTCCAATTCTTCAAGACCTTCTGTAGGGGAGTGGAACCTCGATCTTGTTCCCAAGTCTACTATGAAACCGACTAAGTTGGGAAGTGATCATGATGCTAGTCCAACTTCAGGAAGTGGTCAATTGACACATTCTTCTCCCACAGATCCTACAAATAATGAATCTATATGGGGTCCAATTGTTCTTGAACCCAATGAGTATTCTTTGGGCGATGAATCAGTTTCAGATCTCTTGGCTGAAATTGAAGCGATGGAGTCACTTAATGGCATGACCTCACCTCCTTGACCTAAATTAATTTTGCGTTGTGATGGGGACTTGGCTCAAGGTTCCGAACCTGATTGTTTTAGTCCCGTGGGAGGATTGAGCCCTGCACCAGATCCTGAAAAAAGCGATACTTTGAGTTCAACTAATGATCTACAAATTTATTCTCTGTTGGCTTTAACCAATGAGCTATTTGGAGTCACTAAGTCTGAAAACGCTCAAAAGAGTTCGGACAGACATTCTTCCACGAGTGTTGAAATGGATGAAGATACAAGGCCCGTCGATGTCTAGGTTAACCAATATAAAGTTGGTTCAGACATGCAGCCTCCCGCGCTACTGACAACAACTTAGGGCATGACTACTCTGGGTAATGCTTGGAGAGCAGGGCATGAAACTGCAGACAACAATTGGGGAGCATTTCAAGGAAATGTCAACTTTCATTGGGAAGATTTAAGGCAAGAAACTACGACCTTCAGTTAGGGGCTAGGTCATGGGATGATCCAGGAAAATGGCAGCAGCATCCATTCAAACACTTCTGCAGGAAATCCAACCTATTGGGGAAGCCAACAGATGTATGTTGATCCGAGGGACCAACACTGGCTCGTAGATCTAAGAGACCAACAGAGACCTTAAGGACTAACAGAGGCATGTCAATTTGAGAGACCGTGATTTTCACGATAGAGATTCGAGTTTTGTTAGAACCAGGCCCCATGGAATAGGCACTCTCGTACGGTGATGGTCCTCCAAACAGAGTTGGTCCTTTTAGACCGCCGCCCAAAGGACAGCGGATCTGTAAGCTTTATGAGAGTGGTTATTGTGACCGGGGAGCATCACGTAGTTATTTCCACCCTTGAATAGGTTACCATATCAATTGTGTGAATTTTAGTTATGTATTCATTATTTGTGATAGTAACCTGCTTTGTTGCTTCTCCAAATTTAACTTGTAACAGTAGCATTCAAGCCGATGATAAAACATATTATTTATAATAATTATTCTTCTCAAGATATACAACCTTACTCCTGTGGGGATATTTGAAAATTATATATTGATGTGATATATGAAGTTCAATTTGTGCAATTGCATGTATATCTTAGTTGGATTCAATTTTACATGTAAAAATAATTATATGTATTTAATAAAAATAATTGAATAAAAGTAATATGTAATTAACTTATGTGAGCCACTTTAATGGTTCAAGGGAATCGAAACGTAATGGATAATGAAGCAGTGCATGCATAAAACGCCGCCACTTGCACAGGAAGTCGTTATTGTGTTGTAGAAAAGTCGGAATTTCAAAATTATAGCAGACAGTAGGGGAATAGGTAAACATGGAATCTGCCCAAAAAAACTCGCGTGGCCTAGCGTCTTTGCTCTGGATGCCAATTCATTCTTATCACCACCTTCCAAGAACCTTCCTCAACCAAGCCCCAACCCATGCCCATGTGGCCTCGCCAATGACCGTCATCAGGCACTGGCACCCCACCTCCACCTTAAATTTGTTTCCTCAATCAACACCCATCGATTTCAAGATCCACGCCGCCTGCTTCCGGTTCGATTCAAACCCATGGCCACCAAGTTGGAAGACACGCCGATGAAGGGTACCGGCGACGACAACAATAAAGGAGGTAAAGTGGAAGAACCGGCTGAGGCAATTCCGCCGCCGCCGGAGAAGCCCGAGCCTGGAGACTGTTGCGGGAGCGGGTGCGTACGGTGCGTTTGGGATGTGTATTACGAGGAGCTTGAGGCTTATAATAAGCTTTATAAATCAGATCCCAAGGACTCGACACCCAATTCATCTTAAATTGTAGTATTTTTTTTCCTTTTTCATTTCTGTTGTGATTTAAGTTCGTCGATTATTGTTGTCGGGTTTTGACAACATAAAAGTAATGCTCTGGATTTTGTGGTTCTATTTGATGAAATAGAAATGAATTGATTCTTCTGTTCAATCCTAACGCGAGCATGACAGAACCAGAATTGATTATAGAAACTCGTCTTTATGGGCCACATGAGAAATACCCATTAACACAGCTCGAGGTAGAAAAGCCTCACAAAACCCTTTCATTGCCATGTCTATTTTAGTGCTAGCCCACCAGCATGTACCCCTTGCCTAGCTAAAATACAAATTGGTAAAAATAAAGTAAAATAAAAATTAATTGTAACGTAAAATCTTATTAAAAGAGTAATCTTTTACAATAAATTGGTAATATTTTAAACTAGAACTAAAAATATTACATTCTCCACAACAGATCATATAAATGTTATAACAATTTCGGTCATAACTTTCATATATTTTCAGCTATAATCAAAATTAGATTTGAATTGTATAACTTTTATTATGAATTGTATAACTTTTTAATTTAAATATAATAGTATTACAACTACAAAGCAATTTCATACTTTTATTTGCAGTGTTTTGAAAATCGGACCGGACCGGCCGGTTCAACCAGGAACCGTTGTCTAGTCCGGTTCAATCTAGACCGGTTGAACCGCTACTAGTGAACCGGTCGGAACCGCTGAACCGTTCAAACTGGACCGACTGAAAACCGGAAAAACCCGAGAAAAAACAATCAATTTTGGTTTTTTAATAAAAAAATTAAACCAAACGACGTCGTTTGTTAAACGAGCCAAGTCGAACTCGAGTATTGCTGAGCTCGAATCGAACTTGAAAAATTTAAAAGTAAGCTCAACTCGACTCAAACTCACAAGCTAAAAATTATCAAGTTCAACTCGAAATATAATATTGAAACTTGAACCCAAAAAGGCTTGAACTCAAAAAAAATTTAGAAGCTTAATTGAAGCCTAAAATTCGAGCTTGATTGAAGTGAAAGAATAGTTCACTCAATGCTCACCAAAAGGCTCCATGATTTTGAATGTCAAATTACCTCTATTATTTATAGTAGTTAGTTGGGATGATCTTCTATGTTTCTTAGTCATGTGGGATTGTTTTAAAAAAAAATTAAACCAAACAATATCATTTTGTTATGATTTTTTTTGCCCCAAATTTATTTTTTAATTATAGTTATATAATTATATTTATTATTTAATATGTTTTACCTTAAATATTATGTTGTAGTTAATTTGAATCATTTTGTTTCACTTGATTTTATGATTTTTAACTTATATATGTTATGACTTGCTTTGAATATGAATTGTGATATAAAAAATTATTTTTTATTAAATATTTTTGATACTTTTATTTAATTTTTTAAATAATTATGACGTCGTTCGGTTCTTCTGACCGGTCGAACCGGTTCAACCGGTTGAACTAGTGAACTGATAGCATGACCGGTTCGCTAACCGGTCCGATTCTGAAAACCATATTTATTTGAACAAAGGCATATCCATTAAGCTTTGTCAGCTTCAAACATCGAAGCCGAATGAAACCCAATTTACGGGACAAGTTGGAAGATGACAAGGAGCAAAAGGACTTCATATTTTTGGTCCAGAGAAGACCCAACACCATTCTATTATTGGGGGGAAAAATGCCCGTCGTCTCCAACGGCCAGAGCCATATTTCTAGGTTATATTTATTCATTGCTTACATAGATTACAACAGCTTTTAACTCTAAATCAGGAACCCCAATTTGCAACATAACAGCAACCCCTTTTCTTCCTTTTTCTAGAAAAAAGACTGTCCTCATCCAATCCAATCCAGGGCCTCACCCACAGACCGCTGCAAATCTCACAACCACTATAATCTCATTTGTTTTTTTAGTGTTCAACAACCCCACCACCCAAAAAAAAAAACTGCAAGTTGAGCAAAGTATGCTTGTAGAAAAGCCAGTTTCGGGACCACATCCATTACAAATACCGTAAAGGTTTGTCTTTTTCCAGCACTCTCTGTCCAGTGGTCAGTGGCCAGACACTAGGGTTCCTTTGCACTGCATCGATGTCATAACAAATCCCAGTGCTTAAATGATATTTTGGCTGTTTCATGGCCTTTAATTCAAGTAACCATTTTTTGATGTGCTTAATCATTGCGGCTCCTCCGGTTGCTTGCTATGATATTGACTCCTCTTCCTCCTTTCCCTCTACTCCAAAACACAAACGGCCCCATGCTTTGTTATTCTCTCGTTCTTGTGATGTATCATATAACTTTGGTGAATGCACTATTAATAACTGATGGGTAAAATGAAAACAGACGGAAAGAGACTAATATTCTTTCAGTGAATTGACCACGGTTATGACATACTGAACAAAAGGGGAGAATCCACCAAAGTGAGTCAGAGTTTGATATAAACAACATAGATAAATATTATTCCTCTTTGTCTTCTCAACATGAGAAACCGAGAAAAAGTGAGTTTTTCAGGGCCAGGGAGCATTGGGTTCCCAAATACTCCAAAAACTCGCAGGTAAAGTTTCACCAACACATTGGGAAAGGGATATATCATACATCTATGATTTGTTTTTCAAGTTTCATTTGTGGTGAGGTCTTTTCAGGGAAAGAAACACAATCCGGTATTTAGTTTTATCAGCAGCGAGAATATTCTAGTTTTACTGCCAGTTGCAGGAAATATGAACGACTTAAAACCGTCTTCAGTGGAAACTGGTGATAATAAGATGTAGTTGGTACTTCCCCTTTTAACCAAGGAAATCCACATGTGTCGCTTTCAACCCTAAAGGCAAACGTATTTCAGTTGTTTAAACTATTTTAATATTGTAGCCACCTTGGTCCCTTAGATATATGCAATCCATTAAATTCAGTCCCTAAATGCAAAGAGAATAAAAATTAAAAAGAGATGTGGCCGGCTTGTTCCTTGGTTCCCGACTATCCAGACAGATTACAATCACCAAATTCCTGCTTCTTAATTTTCATGTAAACAAGTAGGTTGAGCATTCATGCATGCCAATACAAAATGCAAACATTCATAGAATAAAACAGCACATCGAAGCATTTAAAGAATACACAGATAGTCTGCAGTTAAATATATCTGGTGCAGTTTAGAATTGGAATGTTTCCTGCTCTATTTATCATATCCAAAATCAAGTTATTGGAGGGAGGAAAACACAGGCCACGAAACAGCATAATGGAATACCTCTTCAACTCTTATAAGTACATATATCAGATGAATTTGCGTGTACACCTGTAAATACCCTTGGACAACTCTATCAACAAATACTAAATATGGAATGACCAAAACCTGAGTTTCTTTACATCTTTTATTTCATGAAAAGAACATACATATTCGAAAGGCACAGACAGATTCATTTAACAAGAGGCACTTGATGTATCCGTCAGATGAATATAAAACAAAATTGGCTAATCCGTTGCTTTCCTTTTAATTTTACAGTTCAAGGTTTCATGCAGCTTCAAAATATGGTCAAGTTCACTCATATTTGATTCATATAGCATTCTCGAAGAGTTATTAAACGCCTTAGTCATTGTTCTATATATATATAAAATAATCCAATGGCAGTTTTGTTGATCAGTCTCGTAGTTCCACCCTTGTACTTTAACCCTACATTCCTTTGGGTGGAAAGCATATATACATTCCGTTTCGAAATTTTTCTATTTTTACAAGATCGTGTGATTAAGAGGTTTCCACATCTGACGCCATAATTGGTGCCATGAGGAAGCAATTACCATAAAAAAAGGGAAAAAGGAAACAAACAGTAACAGCTTCTGCTTTATACAATCTACAACTGTCAACTTAATCACTCAACTCGAACTCTCCATTTCCATAAAATACCAATGTCTAACATAATCAAATCCACGGTTTTGAACATTATGATTCTCCACATATATGAAAATGTTATTTAAAAACATATGTGATAGATATATACCTATATCCGACGCCTACTCCTAGTGTGAATAACATAGGTTAAACTAACAGTAAATGGATAAAGATTTCTGGTTAATGCTTTAGTACAAAATTAGTTGGACTGAATTAACTTCAATAATTAGGGATGAAACAAAGAAAGAGAATGAGTACATAGCAGCTGGCATTATGTGGTAGCATTAATTGAAAACATGCCATACAAACCTGTCCAAGAAAGGCGTGTAAGAGCAACAAACCCTTCCCAAATCCCAAAACCAAAAACTACTAGTATTATGGACCCGATTAACCAATGCATATAGATATAATCACTCAATGGGAAGTGAGAAGGAACATAGAAAACCGAAGCTAAAGTTTTAATTAGAGTAACGAAAAGCTTCAACAATCCTTTACATGGAGATGAACAAGATGTATGTAATAATATATCAACAGGTTGCTTTGCAGGAAGGCAATAAATATTTCCCATTTTATCAGGCCACATTCACGCTCATGCATATTGAATCTAAAGAAGAGCATCGACAGTGACGATGATGACGATCATATGAAATTAGATAGGGAAAAAAGAGATTGAGAATTTTATGTTTTCACCTTTGGAATTCGTATGCCATGCTCATTCCTCTCTCTCGCCCATGCCTTGAGAACTAAAAAAGGTGTTCCGACCGAAGAAGAAGCCATTCCCTTTGAAAACCGGCAAACATTCGGGTAAACAGGGAAAAAGGCAGCCTCCCCTCTTCAAAACCAACCACCAAGTGCTATGGGAATCCGCAAATTTAACCAAAAATAATAAACACTCGCTCGCCACGCTACAATGCCGTGCACATTTTGTACACAAAACGGCTTTGAGATTTTCATTCAAGTGGGAGAATGTAGTGTAGAAGAAGGAAGAAGAAAGAAGAATTTATATTGATGATTTGATCCAAAAGCGTTCGAATTTGTACTACAAAAAAGGAACAAATATCTCCCGCATTTCCTTCTTTCTTTGCTTCCTTTAAAACCCTTTTAACAACTCCCTAAGCTCAAATGGTGGATGTCAAATTTTTGTAGCACTTAATTATCAATGTCATGAAAGGTGACAATATTAGAGAAGACGAC